ACACTAAACCCTAGACCTCTATCCAGTTCTACTACCCAAGAGGGTCCATATTACTACTATTATGGAATTAGGTCGCTAAAGCCATAATAAGGATGGTCTTTTGGGACCTAATTCCATAATGGTAATGTATATGGACCCTCTGGGTATACCCTAAACCCTACACTTAAAACGCCCAGGCTCGGACACTTCGCTGGCCTTGGACTCCCTAACCATCAGGGCTCCTACATGGGATCTATAAGGGTACTGTACGGTTCAGGGTTGAGGTTGAGGGTACACCGATACCCTTTAAAAGCTAAACACAAAATTACAAGTCGGTTTAGGCTTTAGGGCTTAGGGCTTAGGGCTTAGGGCTTAGGGTTAAGGGTTTAGGGTTTAGAGGCCGAGGCGCGCCCAACTGCACGTGAGTATCCCGACCAGCACACAGACGTTCCTCGGGGGAGCCGTCTTGCAAACCCTGAAACCTAAACCAGGGTGTACGGAGCCTCAAAGACGCTACACCCACGGTTTAGGATTTAGGGTGTAGGGTTTAGTTTTTAGGGTTTAGGCTTTAGGGTTCCTAAGCTAGTTCACTGCTCCATGGAGCTCTAATACGTTTATGCAGCCCGGCCGGAGAAACTACGACGATTGGGAGACCGAACAAGACCAGCTAAGGCGGTTCAACAAGCTTCAGAGTTGACGCTTGTGTGAGGTTCGGTGTTTAGGGTTTAGGGTTCAGGGTTTAGGGTTTAGGGTTTAGGAGGGGTCGTAGCACAACAACCACGATTAAGGAGTTTCTGCAATCCCGTGCATGAGGGTCAAACTTGTGGGATGCGTAGGCTTGAACGAACAGATAGCCCAATACCCGTGACTCAGGAGTGTACCTCAAATTATCGGGGCCTTGATATTATGTTTGTAGGTATATTACTTGGCTAAGATGTATTGGGCTCTCTGGGAAATTACATGACCTAAACCCTAAACCCTAAACCCTATACCATATATACCGAAGCAGACATTACATGGTGTTCGGGGCCTTAGGCGAGGAGCAGGCGCACGGAGCAGTGCCACGCGGAAGGGAAACCCTTACCACCTTTAGGAAACGAACGGCTTTCCGATTCCTTGACCAACCAAACCCTATAACAATACACTCCCTAAACCCTAAACCCTACACCCTAAACCCTAAACCCTAAACCCTAAACCCTAAAACCCTAAAATCCTAAAACCCTAGGGTTCGAGTCTGGCATCATGATGCAGCCTCGTGGCAAAATCAAAAAGAGCGTTCGCACGAAAGGCGCGGTGATCGACACCTGCACGCTGCCACTTCATAGTTGGAGGTTGGGGGGGCTTAGCGCCTTAGAGCTTTCGGGTTTAGGGTTTAGGGTCTAGGGTTTACGGTTTAGGGCTTAGGGTTTAGGGTTTACGGTTTAGGGTTTAGGATTTAGGGTTAGGGTTTAGAGGCGTCTCGGCTCGAGCTGTTTTTTGGCCCATTTCTGCCTTAGCAGTTTTGAGCCATAACAGTATTCCAGACCCCAGCGACGAGATCGCGATTGGTGTCCACCCAGGGGTGGCACCTGTGCCAAGGATTGGCACCGCTGCAGGCTGCACTTCACTGGGCCCTGCTTTACGACGAGGGGGCGCTCCCTCTGATTTTGGTTTCCGCCAACTGGCACGCTGCTTCGGCCGTCTCAGTTGGCTGGTGGATATTCTGTGCATGAGGTTCTCTGCACCCTACCTCCTACTGCTTCCTCTACTTTGGCTTGGTTGCTTTCTTTTGTATATTGGTAAGCCCGTTGTTACACCTGTGGTGGGCGGCCACGGCTGTGAAGCGGCCCAAAAGCCCAGGGTGGCATCGGCGACAGCGCAAGGCGAGGCAGCGAGCCCGACAGCGCTACCGTCGTGGGAAGGTGAAGCCAGCGGACTGTATTCTTCTATCCTCGCACCACGGAAGCTCAGCCCCGATGGCTCCCAAACAGGCAGCCTCCAACAAGAGTGGTGGCGGCAAGGGTCGTCAAAAAGGCGAGACCACACAATCTCAATTAGAGTTTGGGCTGCCGGCCTCGCTTGTTGTGGCTCTACAATCGATTTCTACGCGTGCAACCCAGGATCTCTGGGCGTCTACGGCATTCACAGCTTCAGACCTCACGGCCGAGCAGCTTCTGCAGCGGCGAACCAACACGATGTCCAAGTTGTCAAAGCGAATCGCAGGCAACATGAGGGCGAAGGAAGATCTGAACACTGCACTGGCAGCCTGGTTTCAACAACTTGCTCAGCATGTACTTGGTCTAGTGGGACGTATGCAGGCCATAAGCAGCAAGCTCGACGAGGATATGTCCTGTGCAATACAAGAGATCCAAGGGTATTTGCGAGAGCAGCCATCTTCTGCGACTGCAGAGCAAGTACTCCAAGCCCAGCAAAGGATGGGTCCTGTATGGTTCCCTCAGCAAGAACAGGAAGTGGTGCGAATTGCGGCCATGCTACGCGCATTCGGGGTCGTCTCGCCTCTAGGGAGTTCTACAGTTGCCCTGCCTTTGCCACCTGCCAGAGTGAACGCGTCCGATCACCCCGCCAGGCCTTCAGATTTGCTTTCAGAAGTCAGTTTTGGCGATATCTCAGGAGTGGCCACTTCCTCTCGACCGGAGCCCCCACCCTCAAGCAGCGAGGGTGCACCTTCAGCTGGGAGATGGAGAAACGACGCAGCGGCGGCGCTGTGCCGCGTCCTTCGAAGAGCCCTCGACGGGAGAACAGCACATCAGGCCCGCCGTGGCTAACAGAAGCCACAGGGCGGACTCCGGAGGCTGCCAGGCGACTGCGGACGTCATCGATTTCGGGAGCCGAGTCAGAGGAACTCATCCCGGAAGAGACGGAGGCCCCGGTGCTTTCAACCTGGTTTGGCTTCTGGCTGCAGCTGGCTTCGTTTGCAGTCAGCAATGGCAAAGATGTCGTGGGCGAGGTTGTCCGGGATGTAGACCAGGATGCGATTTTGCCCCTCCCAGACACGGACCAGGACGCGGATGGGACCCAACGCGTTCTGCAACAAGCTTGGTGCGCTTTACAGGCCGTAGTCCGAGAAAAAGCAGAGCACTTAATGCCTTCGATGAGCCTCGCCCTCAACCAGGTGCTAAACAAGCTAAGGGCTTCCCCTTCAGTTCTTCCCGAAGCACCTCAAGGGTTGTTATTGGCGGCTCACTTCACCGCGGGCTGCGTTTTGGATCCTTACAGTTTTGCCCCAGCCACAGCACAGGAATGGCTGCAGCCCGCCTTGCTTGTAGAGCGTGGAGGGCCCTTCAGAGGGTTTCTTCCAACTTCGGCATCTGCCGCACCGGAGGTTCAAGGTCTGCTGAGGCACCCGTGTCCCTATTTCCCTCTTGCTTCCAGCGAAACGGAAGACCTGGACTTGGGCGACGCAGCCGAGGACCACCAGGAGCAGAGCCTGCAAGCGTCCCTGCAAGGTGGCCAGCCGCACTATTAAAGAGAGGTTGCCTGCTAGTGGCTGGCGCCCGATTCCCAAGGCTAGGCAGGCTGGTCTGCTTTAGCTCCGGCTGGCATTTGTTAGAGATAACAGCCCCGCGGCCTTCGTTAACTAAGAAGCTTAAGGCAAGCTTGCTTCTTTGGCTGCTGTGCTTCCCTTCGGCCCAAGCAGTTCAACTTTCGCAGGTCGGTAGGCTTAATAATGAGGAGGTTTTTGATGCTGGCCGAGTCCACGGCACAGAGGATCTCCGAGACCTCTCACCTGTCCAGGAAGCAGGTGTTTCTTCCATGTCACCTCATAGTGTCCACCCCCAGCCACTAAGGGATGTATGTATCTTTCAGCACGGACACCCAGAGCAGCCTATCATTCTCCAGGCCGACGTCAGGGTCCACGGGCCCCTGCTCCACAGATGGATTTGCCGAGCGCTTGGAGAACCAGTTAACGCGTGGCTAAGTCATCGCCTCAGAGCAACTCTGCCCTCTCTGCCGGAAACCCAATTCGTCCTGCAGGCCGCCTCTCATCCTTGGTACGTTACCACTGTGCCCATAGATTTGAGATCCCTGGGAGGTCGAATTCTCCTGATTGATGCGGCTAGGACCAGTTCCGCTGAAGTTCTGTTGCAAAAGGCTGCCTCAGTACAAGGTTACCCGATTGTCCGACCCTCCCTCTTGCGCGCTCCTGCAGGCATTTTTATGCCCTCTGCGCAGCCACTTCTACATGATGACGTCGATGCTCTGCAAGGCATTGAGGTGTGCACTGAGGCATTTGCCGCTCTGCAGGTACTTAGTCATGCAGTCGCCCAGGGTCCTATACTAGCTGAGGCAGGACTAAGTCGCGCACAAAGGGACCAGATTGCAGTGAATAGCGAGAACGGTATCCTCCTTTTATCTGGCGCTGAGCAGGGGAGGGACCGCTCCCTTGCGGAGGCAAGGGCTGCCGTAATGCACGACCATACCTCTGCCGAACACAATGAGGTTAGGCCTTTAAGTTTCCCGCTACCTGGGCTGCCCAGCACCCAATTTGCTGCTGTTTACGCTAAGCCTGATCAGGAGTTATGGGTGACGGATCTTAGGCCTATAGGGGGACACATCAATGTGCTGGCAGCTGGCCGGGATCCCCCCTGGGATGACCTCCTCTGCCACCTGGATAACGCTGCTCCTCTGCAGGAGGGGCGAGCTACTCGCCACGGAACCTCGCTTCGCGGCCTTATTGAGTCAGGAGCGACACAGGCTGTGCAGGGTGCCAGTATGAAGGGCAGGCCAGGTCGCTGATAGTGTTCTGGGCCCCCTCACGCTCGGCCTTGCAGAGCGAAAGACACCACGCGTCCGCTCGAACTCCCACTATCGCGGCGCACAGGCCGGACCATGTCTTACATGCACCCGCCTATCACCGCCAAGCTGAGGGTGTCGCTGGATCAGCCGAGGCTGCTGCGGCAAGCCTGGACTCAGGGTCGTCTTCAGCGCGTTCCTTTCGTCCCTTGGCTCTTATCGCTGCTAGCGTGGTCGCACGGTCGCGTGCTCATTTTGGCTATGTGACCGGCTGTCTCCTTTTGCTTGGAGCGGTGCAGGGATCGCCCACCACTAGCATGCCAGTCACATCGGAAATAGGGAGGTTTGTCGAGACCCAGCACGGGGGCGTGTCAATTCGTGGCCACCATCAGCTGGCCCAGCTTCTCGTTACTCAGGGTACGGATGCGCTTCCTCCGCTCACAAGCTGCCTTGGCAAAGAAGAGCAGCTTCTGCTCTGCTTTCAGGTCTGGCGGCCAGCTGGCTTCCACACATTTTATCTTCCGCCCAGCGAGATCGGTAGCACCCTCCGACATCAGCTTCGCTCCTTAGACACAGCCGGCGAACGCAAGTTGCCAGTTGTTGCCTTCCCGCAGTTCGAATGGCCATGCATTCAGTTTGTGGCCCCTTCTAAATCCCCCGATGTCGTTACGATCTTAGTTGACACCGGGGATGAGGTTACCTGCGTCGACGTCGAGA